TAACCTGCTAAGAGTCAGGTGAGGCAATTAAGCACCTGACTCTAATTAAGGCCCCTCTGATGCTATAAAAGGGCTCACTCCAGTCAAGCCAGGGGGAGCTAGGGAGCCAGAGGAGAGGGTGTGGGGAACTGGGAGCAAGAGGTGTGCAAGAAGCTGAGAGTGAGTAGGCGTACTGCTGGAGGACTGAGAAGTACAAGCATTATCAGACATCAGGAGGAAGGTCTGGTGGTGAGGACAAAGAAGGTGTTGGGAGGAGGCCATGGGGAAGTAGCCCAGGGAGTTGTAGGTGTCGTGCAACTGTACCAGGAGGCACTCTAAACAGCTGCAGTCCACAGGACCCTGGGCTGGAACCCGGAGTAGAGGGCGGGCCCGGGTTCCCCCCATACCTCTCAACTCCTGATCAAACACAGGAGGAATTGACCTGGACTATAGCTTCTACCAGAGGGGAAGGTCTCTGGACAGTTTCCTGACCCATAGGGTGAATCTGTGAAGCGAGCAAATCCGCCAATAAGCACAGGACCCACCAAGGTAGAGGAGGAACTTTGTCACAACAGCTAATACCTAGTTAACAAGCTCAGTAAATTCAAAGCAAAAGTCTCTCTCACCCCATACTCCAGCAGTCTGACTAGCTGAAATCCTTTCCCTCAGTCCCAGGGCATGTCTACACTGGCAAAGTTACAGCACCAGCAATTACAGCACCACTCAGAGAGCACAGAAGGAAAACCACTGTTGTGTGTTCACACTGACAGCTGCCTGCGCAATAGTGTGTTCTCACTTGCAGCGCTGTTCGGAGCAGTGCACTCTGGGCAGCTATCCCCCAGAGTACCTCTTTCTCTTTTGCCGCTAAGACTTGTGGGAAGGCGGAAGGGGTCATGGGGCATCCTGGGTCCAGTCCCAACGCCCCGTGATGCATTGCTTCGCATCCCAGCAATCCCTGTGCTTCCATCTGCATTTGGCACCATCTTTCAATGGTTTGTGTACTGCACGCCCTGCCTCTTTCAGTCTGCAGGAATGGATCTCGAACTGCTGACCAGTATGCTGCTTGCTCTGACCAACACGGCACGAGTGGCAGTGGAGTTATTCCTTAAACTGCAAAGGCAAGAGGAGTGTGACATTGATCTCACCACGTGTAGTAGCTATGACACAAGATTGCTTGTGGCATTAACAGAGGTGCTGATCACAGTGGAATGCTACTTTTGGGCTCGGGAAACAAGCACTGAGTGGTGGGATCACATCATGATGCATGTCTGGGATGACGAGCAGTGGCTGCTGAACTTTCGCATAAGGAAAGCCACATTCATGGGACTGTATGATGAACTTGCCGCAGCCCTGCAGCGCAAGGACACGAGAATAAGAGCTGCCCTGTCACTGGAGAAGTGCATGGCGATTACACTGTGGAAGCTGGCTACTCCAATCGGTCGCTAACCAGTTCAGAGCGGGAAAGTCAACCATTGGAGTTGTGTTGATGGAAGTGTGCAGGGCCGTTAATCGCATCCTGCTCTGAAAGACCGTGACTCTGGGCAATGTGCATGACGTAGTGGATGGCTTTGCACAAATGGGCTTACCTAACTGTGGAGGGGCGATAGATGGCACGCATATTCCAATTCTGGCACCAGACCACCTAGCCACCGAGTACATTAATCGCAAGGGGTATTTCTCAATGGTTCTCCAGGTGCTTGTGGATCACTGGGCGTTTCACAGATGTTAACGCAGGCTGGTCCGGAACTTACTTTAATGAAGCTATATGACAGTATGTACCTGAGTTTTGTGACTCCACCAACCACTAAACTAAGAGATTAAATAGACTTGACTCTCACTTTAAATTTTGCAGTCAATTTACCGTATTTATTGAAAATGTAAAACAGTTTGAGATACAACCAAGCTCATCCCTTCAGCATTCTGGACTGACAGCACGCTAGTAACTTGTATTTCTGTGAGGCACGTTAAATTTCCCTTTTCCAGAAAAATGTTTCAATTCCCACAGTCCACAAACTTCACAAATTTAGTCCCCAAAAGTGTCTCTTAAGGCATCTGGCCTGCCAAAGGTTAATTGCTCATCCTGCTCACCGAGGCTTGCAGTTCCTGTGTCCGCCTCGCTCCCTTGTCGGGTGCATTGAAGCTAGTGGCACTCTCTTGGGCCCACGGTGAATTGACAAAAGCTGGAAATCTTTTGGTTGCTGTCCCTGTAGGTCTCCAGCTGGCATCAGGCACTTCAGTCTGTTATTTTCAGACAGATCTTTAACTTTTCTTAAGCTCAAAGCCTCCTTACCCATAAACCTGAGCGCATAGACTGCTCGCATTTTCATTCCTGCCACACATACGCTTCAGAGTCATGGTATATGCACCTAGTGTGCTGACTGAGCTTTGAATTTTTGTTAGCGCAGCACTGCGTGTGTGTGTGTGTGTGTGTGTGTGTGCGTGTGTGTGTGTGTGTGTGTGTGTTAGTTTAA